CATTAATATTAAATGAAGCAAATAAGGTAGTTGGTCGAAGTTGACCATTTTTCTGATAGAATTCCATGTCATGTATAATATTATAAGCTTTGTGAAATTTTTTACAATAAGTTGCATCATTGAAAAGTAATCCAAGAAGACGACCAAGATAACGACTAATACCTATAGTTGGTCCATTATTACATACCATGATTGGTTGAACTGGAATTCCTTCCTATATATATATAGTTATATGACAAGATAAAATAGAGGATAAACATTCATAAGAAAGATATACATACTTTATGTGTCTGATACGAAGTTTAAATAGTGCATTTGTACTGTAGATCGATCGATTTTCATAGTCATATGTTGTGCTTCAGTAATAGATTTGGAATGTAATAAATTGTTCAATGTTGTTTCAACTCGTTCAACAATTTTAGCTAAACGATTTTGACTAGCAGTCGGATATGAACGACTAAGTCTAAAAACGAATGAATAGCTACTGGTCTGATTCATAAATTCATTGACTTTATCATAAAAAGTGTGGCTTGACTCCACATGATATCCAATATCTTTATAAATTGGTCGTAAAATAAGATTTTCATTTCTTAATTGTTGTCGAATTTGTTGAATTTTCGCTTGGTAATAACATGCTTGTCGACGTTCGAATCGAGTCATAGATTGTAAACGGTCATCATGAGTGAGATAAGAGCTATCACTCCAATCAATATTCTTGTCACTTGATGTTTCTTTATGATGGTAAGTTATTTCTTTGTCATCGTCATTATCATTATCATTATCACTATCATCAGATGAAGACCAATCATTTTCGTTGATACTATTGTCCTTGTATGGAAATTCAGTTGTCCCATAATGCCTTTCTTTTTCTAATTCGTCATCAGATGAGATGTTATTTGTTTCGGTTGTGTCATTGATTTGATAAGCCATTTAAGATAAATGAAGGTATATATTGTTTACTTTAATATCGAAAATATAAATAATAAATCTAAAACAAAAAAAGAAAAAGACAGTGAGATTCTATATATTACAGGAGATCAATTCGTCTAACACAAAAACAAATTTATTTTATTTAGAGTAACACTTATCATTACTCAAGAAAAAGACAATTTAGTAAATTTTTTTTTTATTTTTTAATGTATATAGTCTATGTACAGGTTTATATAGGGGTAGAGTATTCTGTTATATAAACAACGGGATTTTTATGGAGTTGAGTTATTTTGCATATTGAGTTGTATATCAGTCTGTGTAAGAGTAGTTTGGTTGCATATGTTTGCGACTTTTCCTCGTAGATCATAGTCACGACGTTGTTTCATATTTTGTTCACGTTGGCTGATGAGGTTAATGGTTTGATCGAGCAGTTGAACATTTTTATGATGAAATCTGGTAGATTGTAACTTATTTTTTTCATTGTTTATTATTTTGCTGTAGTATTGTACCATTTGTTCGGCTTTAGCTATTGTTTGTTCAGCAATATGTTCGGCAGATGATGTTTGACCTTGAAAGAATAGTGATATAAAGATATGATTTATTTTTGGTAATTGAACATCTTCAAATGTATATGATGATATTTGTGCGTGAACTTCGAGCCATTTCTTAAATATAACAATTTCATCGATTATGTTATGTTGTTCATTGATAGCTTTCCAGATAATTTTTGCTGAGTTGATCTAAATATTAGTACATTTTGCAAATTTATGTGAGGTCTCTGTATACTTACCTCTGTTTGTCTTGGCTTCAATTGGTAAAATTGTTCAACAAGTTTGTGTTCTTCAGCATCTAGTCGGAGCATTGTTTTTCTTCGGTCAAGTTCAAATCGTAATTCATATTGATCTTTATTGATTAAATTATTTATCATAGTTGTAATAGTTTGCATATCAATAATGAGTGGTGCTTGTTTCATACATTGATTAATAGTCTCTTGATTTTTTTCACATTGTAGCTTATATTTTGCAAGACGTTGTTTGATTAAGTTTTTGGATCGACCATATGTATAACACATTGAATTGGCTTCGGCCATTTTTTTCGATACTCGGTTGGTCCAAATACCTTCGGTCATGCCAAGATTATAATAGTAAGACCATTGTTCATGTTGTAATTGAGAATAATTAAATTTATTGCTCAATTGTGTAAGTTCACGAATAAATAATAATATTTCTGTCTGGTTTAATAATTCAATAAGTGCATCAGTACTCATATTATTTGTTGTTGACTGTAAAAACAAATCTTTAAATTTACTATCTGATATTGTTAAATAATCAGGTAATAATAATGTTGGATCAGAACTAGTTGTCATATCCATAGGATTTAATATTTTTTTCTTTGGTAATACTTGTGATGTTGATACATTTTGAAAATATTCACTAGAATCCATAGTTGCTAATTGAAATTGCAATTTGCTAGACACCTGTTTCTTTTTTATTCGTAATTGACGATTTTTCTTTTTCTTATTTTGACCTTTACGATTTTGCTGACTTTGATTGAATTTATTTTTCATTTTTGCTTGCTGATACTTGTATTGAAGTTTAATAATTTTTCGAACTGAACTGGTTACAGTTAAATATCTGAAATGAGAAAAAAATCTAATATAGAATTTTTTTTCCTAACATAACAAAAGTGTGCAAGGAAAAAAGACAGAGAATATATAATGTAATTTATTTTTAAAGGAAAACAAAAAGAAAAGTAATGTGTTATTTTTTAATGTGTGTATAATGTTCACGAGATATTCACGCCATTACCATTTACTTCATTTGGTTTTCGTTCTAAGAGAAAAAAAAATAATTATTTTCAATAGAAAAAAAAACCATTGCTTGTAGCTTACTCTTTGCTAATGGATCTTTTAATACTGATGAAGATGGTCGTTTACGTGAAAGTTCAAATTCAATATTTGGATTATTTCGACAACCAACAACTAATCTTATGTCTCCGTGACTGGTATTTTTGAAGTGACTATCATGTATCATATGTATTTCACGAGCTAAACCTTTCAGTCGACCCTCATGTTTTACATGTAAAAAGATGTTATTTTTGAACTTTTCATTGTTTCGTTGAATAGTTGCTTCCATTGTATTTGTATTTGGTTGTGTAACATTTTGTGTATGTTGTGTAAGCTGTACGGTAGTTGCACTTATGACCAGTTGTGTTTGCTTCGCTGTTGGTTGATTTAAGAGTTTTTGACGTAATGCAAGGAATTGACTTTCATCGGTAATCATGGGTAAAATTGACGAAGAAGTTGAAGTTATATAGTCAGCAAAGAATTTTTCAAATTCTTGGTTAATATAATTGGATGGATATCTAAACAAAAAAAAAAAGGCGATGATCATTGAGTGATGTAATAGATAGAAAAAAAAAGTAGATGATTTACCTGTTATATAAGAACATTAAACGAATGGCTCGACGTTCATTATCAAATATTTCAAATGTTGATGAATATCGTACAGCTCGAGTGAGAGCAGTTTGAATGACATTTCGAAAGACATGTCGTGGATGATCTGATAAAAATGATAACACAGTTGGTTCAGCTGAAGGTTTATGATAGAGCGATGATGCGAAAATACCATTATTGTTTTGAATAAGAACATCAAGGAATGGAACACTTTTTCCAATCTTATATTCTAATTTAATATTTGGATGAAAATTATTAGCTGTTTCTAATAATTCTTTCACCTTTTCTTCAGATTGGTTCGATGTAAAGAAAACATCATCAATATATCTATAATCGAAAACAAAACAATCTTAAAAATTAAATTTCTATGGATACTAAAAAAAATTACATACCGGCCATATAATTCATGTGAAGATAATTTTGGTAAAATAGTTTGTCTTTCCCATTTCCACATGAAGATATTTGCTAATGTTAAAGTCAATGCCGATCCCATAGCACCACCAATAATTTGTCGATAAAATTTGTTATTATAAACAAAAGCGTTTGCTTGAAGCACAATACGAGCTAATTCAATAATTGTATCAATTGAAAGACCATTCACTTTTTCACAATTATGTGTATGAAGAAATTCAGTAAGTATAGCTAAAGATTCTTCTTGTGGTAACATTGTATAAAGATTTGTAATATCGAATGTAATAAAAAGAGTCGATGAATTAAAATAACCTTTTTGAATATATTTTTGAAGTTGTTCAAGAAGATCAGCACCATCTACAAACGTTGTTTGACGTACAAATCGATCAAATAATGGTCGAAGTAATTTATCTAAGAATTGAGAAATTTGTTTTGATGCTGCATGAATTGTATTTAAAATCGGCCGTAGTGGTGTACCTTTCTATAAAATAATCGAATTTTTATTAATAAATATAATATGGAGAAAAAAAAATTGTATAAAATGTTGGTTACCTTATGTGGTTTAGGAAT